TTTTTTTTTTTTTTTTTTGAGAAAGCAGGATTTGTTGAGAGAACAGAAAAGCTCCCACAGTGGGAGGAGACCTGAGGAGAATGCCCTGTTGAGCCTTTAAGACGCTCTAACAGGCCAGGTGTGGTGGCTCATGCCTATAATCCCAACAATTTGGGAGGCCGAGATGAGAGGATTGCCTGAGCCCACGGGTTTGAGGCCAGCCTGGGCAACTTGGCGAGACCTCATCCCTACAATAAAGCAAGAAAAGTTAGCTAGGCATGGTGACACGTGTCTTCCAAGTAGCTGAGCAGAAGGATCACCTGAGCCCAGCAGGTTGAGGCTGTGGTGGCCATGAGCACTACTGCACTTCAGCCTGGGTGACAGAGTGAGACTCTTAAACAAGCTGGGTGCGGTGACTCATGCTTGTAATCCCAGCACTTTGGGAGGCAGACACGAGAGGATTGCCTGAGCCCAGGGGTTCAAGACCAGCCTGGGCAACTTGGCGAGATTTTGTGTCTACAATAGATCAAAAAATTAGCCGGACATGGTGGCGCATGCCTGTAGCCCCAGCTACTTGGAAGGCTTAGGTGAAAAGATCACCTGAGCCCAGTAGGTCAAGGCTGCGGTGGCCATGAACGTGCCACTGCACCCCAATCTGGGCGACGGAGTGAGACTCCGACTAACCCCCAAAAAAGAAAAGAAAAAAGACTCTTAAACATCTATGTAACAACCCACCAAGGATTATGGTACAATAGAAAGCATTTAAAACATCAACGACCTAATTATTCAACACTGAACTCATTAATGACTGCAACACACACCTATTCTGCACAAAATCAGATATGAATTATGTTTTTCTTCCACACTGATCATCGGGTATAACTAAGCCAAAGGCAGGTGTTAAAAATACCATCTATAATTGGACCCAGGTCAGTGGTGCCTCTGGGCACCTAGCAAGAGTCAACACTGGAACCTTGGAAGGAGAAGATGCTATTAACAATGTCTAACACACTTCAGCAATGCACATGACAGCATCGTGTTAGCACAGATGAGATGGAACAGCAGCATCGTTCCCTATTCTGGACTCACACAAGACTTAAAGCAGGGTGCACAGTGGTTTTTTATTCAAGTAGCAAATTTGGGTCAGGCGTGGTGGCACACACCTGCAATCTCAGCACTTTGGGAGGCCAAGGCAGGAGGATCACTTAAGCCCGGAAAGTCAAGCCAGCCTGGACAACATAAGCAAAACCACGTCTCTACAATAAATTTTTAAAATTAGCTGAGTGTAGTGGTACACGCCCATCGTCCCAGACTGGAGTGCAGTGGCATGCTCCTGGCCACCACAGCCTTGACCTGCTGGGCTCTGGCAATCCTTTCGCCTCAACCTTCCAAGTAGCCGGAACTACAGGTGTGCACCACCATGCCCAGCTAATTTTTTATTTATTGTAGAAATGAGATCTCGCCAGGTTGCCCAGGCTGATCTCAAACCTGCAGTTTCAGGCAATCTACTCACCTCGGCCTCCCAAAGTGCTGGGATTACAGGCAGAGCCACCGAACCCTGCCAGCCTACATTTTTGTGTAAGAAACTAGCCAGAGCCAGGCTCGGTGTCTCAGCCTGTAATCCCGCGCCTTGGGAGGCTGAGGTGAGTGGATT